GATTAATGTATGTATTGGCTGAGCTGTTAATGATTATTATTAGTCATCGTTAGTGTATTACTATTGTTAGAACCTAGAAAATGTGAATGCAACCCCTGGTGGCTTGCAGAATACATTGTTCAAGCAATATTACCCTGTCATAAAGTATGCATTCTTTCTGAAACCGTCCCTTGGGTGCACCTTTCTACGGCAGTCCTTTATTTCAGCCAACTTTCTGTCACAGCAGAGGTTGTATCTTATCTAACTGAGGGATTTGAATTCACTGTCCCCTTCTTGGAGCCAGTCATGCCGACCTTGTGTGCATAGGGAATACCCTGTGTCTGTGTCTTAAATATTTGTGGTAATTCTGCCTCATTCTTCCCCTGTCTCACTCTCTCCCTCTTCCGATATTTATATATGTACTTATATAAATATGTAGTCATGTGTGCTGCACCAGCAAACGAACGGGTGGCAGATAATGAGTGTATGTATGTGTTTGTGTGTGTGTGTGTTATTTTTTTTTTTTAACTACTGCGCGTTTGAGTATGCGTGCTGAATTTTAGAAAAACAGTGAGATAGTATTTTGGCTACAGGACACCAGTAGCACACATTTATCTTCTTGTAGGGAGTCGGCAGTCCGAAACCCAAGTTCAAGGTGTCTCCTTCGTGCCAAAGAACTGCATGGCTGTTGGGTGAAAAGTCGTTAACGAAGGCAGTCAGGTCGTTGTTGGGGATACGCTTGCTGGTGGATGTAATATCCTTAGTCCCTTTCCCAGGGTATTGCTGGGGTGACCGTTTATTAACCCTAACATAATGCTTCAGGTCCAAATGGACACTAGGCACTGCCACTGTTTTGAGCCGAGGCAGAAATTTTTCCTTATGCCAGACTGTGGCCATTGCTTTTTTGCTCCATTTGTAGCCTAAAGTATATAGTTTCGTTGCCCAGCTTCTGAGTTGAGTGCATGGCGTGACACTGCGAACTGCGGATTTCATTAGGAATGTTTTTCGACTGTGACCAACGTGGTGGTGTGATGTGTAGATTCAGAAAAATGGCGCGATGCCGGTTGTGGCAATATTGGTGGGTCAATATTTGAATTAAAATTGATCGCATGGGCAACTGCTGATCTGTTGGTGACTTCTGCTACGATCAAAGATGAACTGCATTTCTAATGTCGGACTGTTCGTGTTAGCACTTCGTATGGCTACCGTATGCTTTTAATGCGAGTGTATGCTAGATTTGCTGAGACAGCAGTTTGTCAGTCTTTCCACAAGGGACTGTGATAAACATTCTGTGTGTTTTTCGTTGGCATAGGAGCGGAGCAACTATGGAGTGACCCGTTTGCTATGAAGATGAACCTAAAACTACCAGATTACCAGACTTCTATAGCATGTTCACTTCACAGGAACATCTGTGTCAATCATGAATGTTATAAACAATAAATAATGTATCCTTAGTATACCCGTCACTACACAGGGATACTTTTTTTTTCTTTTTTAAATATGTCATCCCACTTGACATTAGGTAATTTAGTAACAGTCGAGAGCCCTAATTAAACCTTACATGTGAATGGGGTTTCTGGGAATTGCAGAGGGTTACATCGACATGCAACTTTTGTCTATTGAGGCCACGTTAGCGCAGTCGATAGGAGACTCGCTTTCAAATCCGACTGCGGCTCGCTGCAGCCCACGGACGGTGTTCGAACCAGAGCGGTTCCCGGGGTTCACCCAGCCTCTAGGAAATGGAGTTGACTGACACTCTAGGGTAAATGGAGGAACGTCGCTGTAGCTAGTTACATGCGGACGGTGACACAGACGGACAATTTATTATTAGCTGTCTTTACCGGTGGCAGAGCACTTATGGTTTATAACCGTGTGCAATGACGCTGGTTAAAATCTCCTGACCTAACCCTTTTTATAACTTTTGTCAACAGGTTATGCGACATCCGTCCCCCACCCCCTTTTTTTTCCCCCCGTAGTCATGCATAGAAGTTCACTTTCAAGTATTTTCAGGTTTTGTATACAATTTCAAATAAATATTATATTATTATGGCGTTTCCGCACATAATAATAATACTAAAATTGTTAAATAATAGTGTTATACACACTCCTTCACCCTCTCTCTGTCCTCCACAGGGAGGCATGAAGGCTGTAGTGTGGACCGACGTTTTCCAGGGAGTGATCATGTTGGCTGGGATTCTTGTCATTGTCACCCAGGTGACCTTGTTCATTCTTCTGTGGTTGTTGCGCTGTTGTCGCTGCTGTTGCTACTGTTGATAAGATTATAGTTGTTGGTGATGTTCTTGCTCCGTTGCTGTTGCTACAGTTTAAAATTTAGTTGCTTGATGTTGCTCTGTTGCTACTGTTGATAAGATTATAGTTGTTGGTGATGTTCTTGCTCTGTTGCTGTTGCTAAGATTATGTTGATCTATATTATAGTTGATGTATGTTGTTGATGTTCTTGCTCTGTTCTTGCTCTGTTGCTGTTGCTACTGTTGATAAAATTATAGTTGTTGTTGATGTTCTTGCTCTGTTGCTGTTGCTACTGTTGATAAGATTATAGTTGTTGGTGATGTTCTTGCTCTGTTGCTGTTGCTACTGTTGATAAGATTATAGTTGTTGTTGATGTTCTTGCTCTGTTGCTGTTGCTACTGTTGATGTGTTGATGCTCTGTTGCTGTTGCTACTGTTGATTAGATTATAGTTGTTGGTGATGTTCTTGCTCTGTTGCTGTTGCTACTGTTGATTAGATTATAGTTGTTGGTGATGTTCTTGCTTTGTTGTTGTTGCTACAGTTGATAAGATTATAGTTGTTGGTGATGTTCTTGCTCTGTTGCTGTTGCTACAGTTGATAAGATTATAGTTGTTGGTGATGTTCTTGCTCTGTTGCTGTTGCTACTGTTGATAAGATTATGTTGTTGGTTGCTGTTGCTGACAGTTGATGATGATGTTCTTGTATCGCTCTGTTACAGTTGATAGTTGATAAGATTATAGTTGTTGATGTTCTTGCTTATTACAGTTGTAAGATTATAGTTGTGGTGGTGTTCTTTGATGATGTTGTTGTGTTGTAACTGTTGATGATACTTATTGTGTTGATGATGAGTTTCCAAGAGATATTGGTGTTGCTCATATTTTTTTTCTAAAAGAGCTTGGTGTTGTTGATGTTTTTCTGAAAGATGGTGGTTTTTCTGACGTTGTTTATATAAAAAAAATTTGGTGTTGCTGATAATATTATTGGTGATATTGTTGTTATTGTTGTTGTTGCTGTTGATATTGACATGGTATTGATAATGATGTCGTTGCTGGTTATGATGTTGTTATCGTTGTTGTTGTTGCTTTTTAAAGACAAGTGTTTTTGTAGCTACACCTGCTGTTCACGCCACTGCAGTTGATGTCTTTGCGTTTGTTGATGACAGTGATGTTGTCGTTACCGTTGTTGATGACAGTGATGTTGTCGTTACCGTTGTTGATGACAGTGATGTTGTCGTTACCGTTGTTGTCGACAGTGATGTTGTCGTTACCGTTGTTGTCGACAGTGATGTTGTCGTTACCGTTGTTGTCGACAGTGATGTCGTTCGTTGTTGTCCGTTGTTGTCGACAGTGATGTTGTCGTTACCGTTGTTGTCGACAGTGATGTTGTCGTTACCGTTGTTGTCGACAGTGATGTTGTCGTTACCGTTGTTGTCGACAGTGATGTTGTCGTTACCGTTGTTGTCGACAGTGATGTTGTCGTTACCGTTGTTGTCGACAGTGATGTTTTCGTTACCGTTGTTGTCGACAGTGATGTTGTCGTTACCGTTGTTGTCGACAGTGATGTTGTCGTTACCGTTGTTGTCGACAGTGATGTTGTCGTTACCGTTGTTGTCGACAGTGATGTTGTCGTTACCGTTGTTGTCGACAGTGATGTTGTCGTTACCGTTGTTGTCGACAGTGATGTTGTCGTTACCGTTGTTGTCGACAGTGATGTTGTCGTTACCGTTGTTGTCGACAGTGATGTTGTCGTTACCGTTGTTGTCGACAGTAATGTTGTCGTTACCGTTGTTGTCGACAGTGATGTTGTCGTTACCGTTGTTGTCGACAATGATGTTGTCGTTACCGTTGTTGTCGACAGTGATGTTGTCGTTACCGTTGTTGTCGACAGTGATGTTGTCGTTACCGTTGTTATCGACAATGATATTGTTGTTAATGCTTTTGATGACAGCAGTGTTGTTGATGTTGCTGTTGTCTAGCTTTTGTTGGTACTGTTCTTGATGTTGCAACGTTACCTCATCGACAAATATGCAATATTGAATTACGACATATAAATTTCTAAATGAAGACCAGAGATAACCAAAGGAGCATTTTCATACTTTAAGCACAATGAGAATACGGCGAGATACCCACATTTACTCCATAGACCAAGTTCCATCTGATGGATGATGTCATAATTGCTTTTCCTTCCAATAACTTTTCCTGATGCCCTTTTAAAGTTGGGTCGACCTAGGACCCTTCACCCTGAGGTCATTAAGGCCCTGAGCACCTGGGGCCCCTAGATATCTAATAATCATCTACTATTTGGTAATATGAGCTCTCCATTCTTTTCATAAATTAGATTTAGTGTTCTTTTGATTTTGTTATCCTGATGAAGTATGTCTAGACGAAACGTTTACTCTGTCACTCCTGGCTATGTTCCTGTAAAGCTGACTAGTCTCACCTTCTTATGCTTTTATACTTTCTTTATATAAAGTTTAACTTTACAGTCGAAAGGGTCCATTTCATTGCATTGGGTTTTTCGGTATAGCTAGACCTCCCTATGCAAAACAACTTGCAGCCTGTCGAACTCTGTATCTCTAGCGAAGATCTCCAGAGACCTCTTTCAAAATCTGCATTTGTGAACTGTACAATGCGAATGTAAAACGGAACCCAGACCTTCAGAGCTTGATGCGAACGGCTTGACCACCGTATACCACGAAGACCCCATTTTCTTGATTTACTGATTGTTTCGTTTTAAGTTGTGATGACCATTGTCATGGGCGGTAATTTCAGGGGGTGATACAAGCGGGAGGCTTCCAGAGAATATGGAGCATCAATGAGGAATGGGGGAGAATCCAGTTTTTCAAGTTAGTTTGAGGATTATATTTGTGGCTGTCTGTGTGTCCTTCTGACATCTGTTTGTCTTTCTGCCTGTCTTGCCTGCCTACATGCAAGACACATCTATTCATGCCTCTGTCTTTATACACGTGTGTGTGTGTGTGTGTGTGTGTGTGTGTGTGTGTGTGTTTGTATGTCTGTAAAGTCAAGGACACGTTTTCACGCCTTAAGGACCAATTGGCATATAGGGCTAGACAAATATTGTATAAACAAATCGTCACTTGGCGGGTGATGTAGTCAGTATAACGCCGCCGCTTTTACTTCCCGGACTTCACCTGGTTCCCTATTTCAGGCTGGGCCGACCTGGAAGCCACTGTAATTGTTGACAAAATCTGGCTCTGTCTGGACCTGAACCCACGATCTTTCAATCCTTAGGCGAGCGTCGAGGCTGCTACACCATGACAGCTCCTGAATAGACATATTGTTATCTGTGTGTATGTGTGTGTGTGTGTGTGTGTGTGTGCGTTTATGTGTGTGTGTATGCGTTTTTGTGTGTGTGTGTGTATGCGTTTATGTGTGTGTGTATGCGTTTATGTGTGTGTGTGTGTGTGTGTGTGTGTGTGTGTGTGTGTGTGTGTGGCTGTTCTGGTATTTCTTTTAGTAGAATAATTATGCTTTAAACTGTCAGTTTAACGAAATACAGTACATAGTAAGCATTACTGGTATACTCTAATTGCTGTTTGATTGTTGTACTCTAATCTCCCAGTTTGTAATACTCGAATCTTTGAATTGACTTCATGGTATAGTCTCCGTGTTTGTATTGACTGTTATACTCTTAACTATGAGTTTGACTGTAATACTCTTTGATCTCACAGTTGACTGCTATAATCTAGTCTTGAAGTTTGTGTTGAGCTTTGTAGTCTAATCTCTTAGTTTGAGTGTAATACTATAATCTACCAGTTCGATTGTTATATTCAAGTCTCTGAGTTTGTTTTGATCGTTATACTCTAATCACTCAGTTTGAGTGTGATACTCCAATAAATCAGTTTGACTGTTATACTAAAGTCTCTGAGTTTGTTCTGATCGTTATACTCTGATCACTCAGTTTGAGTGTAATACTCTAATAGATCAGTTTGACTGTTTTACTAAAGTCTCTGAGTTTGTTTTGATCGTTATATTCTAATGTCTCAGTTTAAGTGTAATACTATAATCTACCAGTTCGATTGCTATATTCAAGTCTCTGAGTTTGTTTTGATCGTTATACTCTAATGTCTCAGTTTGAGTGTAATACTATAATCTACCAGTTCGATTGTTATACTCAAGTCTCTGAGTTTGTTTTGATCGTTCTATTCTAATCCCTCAGTTTGAGTGTAATACTTTAATATATCAGTTTGACAGTTATACTGAAGCCTCTGAGTTTGTTTTGATCGTTATACTCTAATCTGCCAGTTTTGACCCGGATCCTACAGTCCGTCATACAGTGTGGAATCTGATCATAGGAACGGCTCTGACCAACGTTGGAACTTTCGGCGTCAACCAGGCAAGTGTACAGCGCTACAGTAGCCTGCCAACACTTGCTAGTGCCAAGCTGTAAGTGTAACGAATAGTTTAAGTTTACCGAGAACTTTCAAAATCAAAGTTGTCAGTTAATGTATTCAACTGTATAAACACTTCTCATTTTATAGTTCTGAGTGTACAGTAGATTAGGATATACTGATGATACTTTGCAAGGATATTAAAGAACACAGTAGATAAGACATCAAGAGGCATACGATGGACTCCATTCACCATGCTTGAGGACCTTGATTTTGCAAGATGATATAGCACCCTTTAAACAAAAACATTAATATATACAAGAAAAAAGTAACAAACTACACAGCACAGCAGAAATGGTGGGACTAAGAATAAATACAAGGAAAACTAAGGTCATGACAAACAGTCCAAACCAACTACCAGTGACCATAAATAACCAAACACTTGAAAATGTAGAACATTTCGCATATCTTGGCATTGTGGTGTCCCTACTGGAAGGGACAGAGGAACACATACAGTCACGCCAACAAAGCTAGAGCTGCTTTTGGAAGAATGAGGCAAATCTGGAAATCCAACAGCTACTGCAGGGAAACGAAACTTTGACTCTACAAGAGGATTATTTTGCCAGTTCTTCTTTATGGAGCAGAATGCTGGAGAATGACCAAAAAGGATGCACACAAGCTATCCACCTTCCACCACAAATGTCTACTTTGAATTATAAAAATTTTCTGGCCAGATAAAATCTCAAACACTAAACTACTTCAAGTCACAAACCAATAAACTATAGACAGTATGATAACCAAGAGAAGATATTAATGGCTTGGACCACGCTATGAGAATAAATCCTGATATGCCTACTAAAACAGCTCTCACATGGATACCAGAGGGAAAGAGAAAAAAGGGGGCGCCCAAAAACAACATGGAGACGAACGATGGAGAGTGACCTGAATGTAGTATCTCTGACATGGAAAATTGCAATGGTGATTGCACAGGACAGGAAGGCATGGCAAGTTCTCTCTTAAGCCTTCATGTGCCACTAGGAATAAACAGAATTGATGATGATGATGAATACTTTCTAAGATAATGTGTATTTACGCTCGTCAATATTGGGTGACTGTTTTCCACGTCCTAGAGTGCATTAGGAGTATAATGCTCTCTCTCTCTCTTTCTCTCTCTCTTTCTCTCTCTCTCTCTCTTTCTCTTCTCTCTCTCTTTCTGCTTCTAACGCCCTCTGATCTCTCTCTCTCGTTCTCTCTCTAATCTGAGCCAATTCTCTTTCTCATTCTGCCTATCTCAACACATGACAGATCACGTATCTATAAGAGTCTAACATACACAGGCCTCACGCCAAGTCGTTCTTTAATTGGTAATAATTTTTTAGACAAGTTTGAGGTTTTCCCCCACTCATAGTAGGTTCAGCGTCACGTTGGTGGCTCCAGGCTTAAGTCGCTAGGATGAGCTCCTATTCTTGAAACCAACGGACACCACCACTAAGATAAGGAGAACATTCAATATTTGCTTCTCTAAACAGACATAACCTTAACCACAGCTAAACCCATTCATGGCGGGACATCTTATCACTTCAGCAAGTGTGCCCATCACTAATCAATGAGAGGATGTAAACAAAAGTAGTTCAACAAATGTAATGCACTAATCTCTTAGATCAAATGACTTGCGTATCTTTTACAGGATGTTGCAGCATAAAACCCAGGATGTTTGGTTGTTATAATTTTCTATGCAAATTTTACGCCCCGTGATAGGAATCCTTAGTTGCTTCAGTTCGGCTCCAGATATGGATGGCAGTAGGGCATTGTCATGATCTGGCTAGGGATGGAGACTGGGGGAAAAGGGGGGGGGGGGGTGGGAGTTGTCAAAGCACTAAACATGTGCACACAAGCCACAGAGGCCACATGAACCACCTGAAGTAAGGAATGGTAAGCTCGGGTTGTGAACCAGGCTGGGGACAGTAATCGACCGGACTTCCTACCGGACGGTCTGGACAACTTCAGCGAGGCCATGCTACATAAATAAGGGTTTTAGTTATTGAGTTAGGCAGAGTTAGATAATATATTGAAATATTTAACACGATTTAGAATCGATATATAAATAAAGTTGAAATTAATGTAATAGGGTGGAAGCGACGAAGACTACAGTACAGCAGGTTAAAGATATTAGAAGGTTTTTCTGGTTTGAAAATGGCCAACTTGCCTTTCGAGAAAAGTTGGCGGTAATAGTGTTATACGATAACACGGGAAAAATCAGTCGGCCGTTTAAATACCCCCTTTACACAGAAGATTTCTTGTACTAGGCCGAGGAGAGCCCTTATAACAAGAAAGAAAAAAATAAAGAAAAACAGAGAGTAGAGAGAGAGAGAGAGTTCGTTTTGGTGGGGGAAAGATCAGAATATCTCACCCAGGGCAAGAAATCTTCTGTGTCAAAGTCTAGTTATAGCCAAGCAACGAATAAACTAAACTAGTAAACTAACTAGAAGTCCTAAGCTGAAGAAAACAACTGTAACTATGAATACAACGTTGAACATAATTTTATTTAACTTCACATCAGCATGGCCAACAAATAACGACATTAAGGACGACAAACTGCTAGAACAAAATCTCAAATATATAGCGATCCAACTTCAGATCCATCTATCTCTTAGCAATACAAATAAAAATCTATTTAAAACTAACCAACTGAACGTACCATGAGCCGAGCCAATCTAGCGCCGCCCAGCCATTCCGATCTGACACACCTGTGCATTGCCACCACGTACAGTCGACAACCAACAGTGCGCTTGACCGTAGCAAGCCGGAGCGACCAACCAGATAGGATAAGGGCAAATAAAAATCAGTGGGCCGTTTAAATACCTCGTGGCCTGATTTTTCCCGTGTTATCGTATAACACTATTAACTGCCAACTTTTCTGGAAATGCCGGTTGGCCATTTTCAATCCAGAATAAACCTTCTAATATCTTTAATCTGCTGTACTGTAGTCTTCGTCGCTTCCACCCTATTACATTAACAGAGCTCCACATGTTGCATATACATGGGACGTTCTCGTGTGGATTGTGACCATATTCTGATACAGTTTGTTCTTGTTGTCATGACGACAAGGACAATTGAGATATGGCGGCCGTGATTGCAGTGGTAATGTGCTTCGAAGGATATAGTTTCGTCGCCCAGCTTCTGAGTTGAGTGCATGGCGTGATCCTGTGAGCTACGTGTATTTTTCGTTGGTACAGGAGCGGAGCAACTATGGGGTGACCCGTTTGCTAAGAAGCTGAAACTAGGATTACCAGATTACCAGATTACCAGATTACCCGCCTCTCGACATCTTATAGGCATATCAATCACATCCTCACTGTCTTAGGTCCAGAAAGACCAGCACTACCACTATAATGTGGCGTGCCGACTGGTGTGTATCAGTTCGTGCGTTGACATTATTCCACGCCATCAGAAAAAAAAGGCTGTCAGGAATCTTCTCGCGCTTTCTTCCTCTATCTCTCTTTCCATAGGTCTGTTTGGTAGTCACAGTATGTTCCAGTTTCCCTCTTCTCGTAGCAAGACACTGTTTCTCTTTGATATTTGTAGTAAGTTGTCTTCGATCAATCATCTTTTCGAAACATCTGGATTGCTCTGTGTACGTGCGGGTGCTGCCTCTGTGTGTGAGTGTGTGTGTGTGTGTGTGTGTGTGTGTGAGTGTGTGAGTGTGTGTGTGTGTGTGTGTGTGTGTGCGTGCGTGCGTGCGTGCGTGCGTGCGTGCGTTGCGTGCGTGCGTGCGTGCGTGCGTGCGTGCGTGCGGTGCGTGCGTGTGGTTGTGTGTGTGTGTGTGTGTGTGTGTGTGTGTGTGTGTGTGTGTTGTGTGTTTTGTGTGTGTGTGTGTGTGTGTGTGTGTGTGTGTGGTGTGTGTTGCTTTTTTTTTTGGTTGCTTTAACTGTTCAAATTTTTTATAAGTGGAACGATGCTAATTTTTTCTAAGGATTTTTCTGTAAAATCACATCTCTTAGGCTTCGACAAATGTTTTATTTATTGTCCAGGTTTTATAATCGAATGTTAAAACTGACTCTATATAGCATGCAAGAATTATTTTCTAACCTCCAACGACATGGAATTTTTGCGTAAAATGTTCTTAATTTTGTGGAGTCAGAAGTCAGTTTCTCTTGAGCCATGCAGACAACTGAATATAGATATTGCCAGGCAGCCGACATGCCTTAACCAGATGGTGTTGGTGTAATGACCTTGGCTAACTTATTGCAACGTCAGTTGTAGGCGATAGTGAATCGATCATACATCAGGCCTTGCCGGTGACAACGCTTATTGATTACAGGTGATAACAATATCCCACAATAGGCCCTGCCAAGCTGTTGCAATGTAAGAGTTATGATAAGATATTACAACTCGAAGCAGAAAGATGCACCTTGGTAATACATAGTTAGCCACACACAAAAATGTATACGAAGTATTTGTCCAGCAGTGGAATGTATCTAAATGTACATTTGCAATCTTCGAATGCATTACGTTAGCAATATGTTGCAGGAAGGTTTTTTTTTTTTTTTTTTTTCTCAAATAGAAATCTGTATAAACATTTTGATACTAAATTTTTTTAGACACGAAGAGATACATACAAGTTACATGTGATGTACAAAGTTACTTCGGTTGCTTGAAGTGTTTTCCAATAGCCTCCTAACACGTTTGCTAACCCTCAAACAACACACAGCTACTTAATTATATCTAGACATGGCGCAATATGTCACGTGATGATGACGTTTTTAAACCAATAGTCTCTATGAAAATGTTCATGCATTTCATTCTTCTTTCTTCTTGCGTCTTTCTGAAAGCAGGTTGTAGTTAAGTGTCGTGGTTTTCTTTATTTGGCTTTCTCAGATGGCTTAAGTGAAGGACTTGTCCATCTTTTTTGCAGGTTTCAGATATACCACATATCCATCTCTTTCTTGATCTTCGTCTCGCCTTCCTCCTAGATAGTTTTGGGTAAAAATTCTCATATGCAGTCTGGTCTGGTTGCATTCTCACTAGATGACTGAACCATTTCATTCTTTGTCAATATAATCGAGATATGGTCTTATTCCAACTTTCTCTCTAATGCTGGTATTCGTAACCCTGTCTCGTCTAGTGTTGTTAGTGACCTTGTTTTTTTCAATACTCCGTGTCCATGTTTGGCACTGATAACATAAAGTAAGGATAAAGATATGATATTAATCAAAGCTGATTTGCTGAAAGGAAGACATTAGGGTGTCTAAACAGTGGGGACTAACTGGTAGGTGACAGCATTTGCCTTCTGTACTGTGGCTTTTATCTTGTTGTCGAGTTTGCCATCCTTCGTAAATACCCTTCCTGGATATTTGAATTTTCTACTTGTTTGATTGTAGCACCGTTAACGTGAACGTTCATGGTATTATGTTTCCTACTTATCCGCATCAGTCCAATGTTTCTTGTGTTATAGCAATCAAATACACCACTGCCGGCTTTGCTAGGTCTGTCGCGTAGGGGGGCAGGGAAAACCTGACCTGGTTGGTGCCCTTCACCTTCCAGGCGAGCCGTTGCACCGTCAGCCTGAAACCTCACGGCTTCAGTTTTCTGACGTCACCACATGGAGGTGTTTTACGCGTCATTCGCTGGCTGCTTAAATCTCACTTTCACTTCTCCGAAGAGAAGCTAACCAACCTTAACACTGCTGGAGAGAGAGAGAGAGAGAGAGAGAGAGAGAGAGAGAGAGAGAGAGAGAGAGAGAGAGAGAGAGAGAGAGAGACAGACTTGACTATTTTGAGTGAAATTAAAGAGAAAGCAGGAATACGAGTTAAAGGATACAATATAAACAAGTTGAGTTATGCAGCGATATAGTTTTGATAGCCGAAAATACACCGTATTTACAACTGGTGGATATTGTGGGGATAGAGAGTGCTAAGAATGGACTTTCATTAAGTACTGAGAAAACGGAAGTAATCGAAGAAGATGATTACTCCACATTGTGTTAACTCAATAGAAGGGAAAAGACCTAATCGAGTCAATTAATTCAAATATATGGTAGAGGCAGACCAAGATAGAAGATGCTGTATTAGCTGAAAAGATGACATAGAGGGATGTCATCAAGAGAGCTGTTCCAGACAACCTGGGATCGTGTTCTGTAGAGACGCTTGAGCGCCTATACCTTTGGCAGGGCACATGATGATAAGGACGAGGATGATCATGATGATGATGACACTTTTGACTAGTGTGTCATTTAGACCGTTGTTTAAAACAGATAAGTATTGTGATACAACAGTGACTTTCAGCAGTAGGGCTCTGGCAGTCACTGATATTATAAAAAAATCCCCTCTGCTTCTATGTAGAACTTTTCCTTCTATATGTTTCAACGGGAACGAGAAAACATACAGAAACACTTCCACTTCTACAGCAGCAAGAAAGTAATGTCATGCTGGCAAAAAAGTAATTAACGTCGGCCCCGTTCAAAATTTTGCAGACAAATGCTTACAACATTCCCAAGCATAAAGAGGCTTTTCTCTCAAAGAATATAAGAAAGAAATAAAGAAAGAAAAGAAGAGAGGTAAACAAATGGAGAGATATATGATACAATCATTATGCACCATCTTGTACGGCTGTTACTTGTCCCTCAGTGCACAACACTCCATATATACATATATTTAATCACACCCACATACATAAACTAGCACTAGAGTTTCTGATCGTGTGAATTGTTAAAGTCTGCTTACACAAAATGTAATCAATACCGTTGGTCGTATGACGTACGTGAACAGCTTATGAAACAATAAAGAAGGCGAGATGCCGGGCACATCGAGCACTGTGGACAATAAAGGCACGAAATCACTACATAAGCACTATTTTTGTTTATTCAACGGATCAGCATCATGGCACACGGGTGTAATCTATAAGTGCTCCGTTTTTCTTCTAACGCAAGCCTGAGACCGAAAAATCTCAGCGCAGTGCACCAACTCTGTTACACCGGCGAGGATCCTGAAATACTTTGGGTAGATTTTTAAATCCGGATTTTACCCGGGCAGCGCCGTTAGGGTCAAATTGCCAAGGATTTTTTTTACGTGCGCAACAGTACACACGGGCGTCCAGTCCCACTGCCTAGAAACCAGAGGTAAATTACTTGAAATACGCGTTGAAAAAAAAAAATCACGGTCTTCTCCTGGGCTTAAAACCGGGACCTCTTACCTTTGGGGCGGACACCATGCCTAGAGACCACACAGCCCCACCGCCACGCCCCCCCCCTTTCTCACCCCAAGCTCAGTGCAAATAAGCACTGAAACGAATTAATTGAGGACAAGAGGACGCTAAAAGATACATTCTCAGACGAACTTTTATGACAGAGATTTTTAGAAAGCAATTCCTCGACTTTGGATAAGGCTAGTTTGAATTCTCCAACGGGTCCCTCCGCTTGACTACTGGCAAGACATTAACGTGGCTGCTTAGGGATCCGTCAGTTAAGTGATTTTGTGTATTCGTGTGGTTTTTGTTTGCTTTATTTATGTGTTGATAAAGGCTCTGTAGCCGCAACGTTAACTACTTGTTTGTGTTTGTTATATTGTGAAGCTCCTATCTACTTTTCGATCGGTTTTATATCTTTTCATGGGAGAGTCAGGTTTGAATCCTCGGTGAGGCTGGGGATATTTTTTATGTCGGCGGCAAAATAAAAATGCTGACCTTCACAGTCGTATCGACAGCACTAGCCACACGGCCGTAAATCCTCATGCTCAAAGAGCTCCCTGTCTACACCACAAAAGTGGTATAATAAAGTCAGTAACTGACAGCTTTATATCTTTCCATTGCCATGGGTGTTGTGTCAGGATTAGTATGCGCTGCCCATCAGTTCGCACTGATAGAATTCCCTGTGTTGAGCTTCTTCGGACTCAGACTTGAGTTAGAAGAAGAACGGAGCACTTATGGGTTACTGCCTGTGTGGCATGATCAGTTGTTCAAAAACCTCAAACCTTAAAACCTGATAGAGAACAGGCAGTACCTTTTACAGTTATTCGTAAAGTCAGTCATCTGAAACTGTCACTAACGCTGTATGTGTTTATGTTTCCAGATCAGTGACGTTAAATATCCTAGGCCTGATTGTTATCTATGTGCCTGTCTGTCTGGTCGGAGTGGTTCTGTTCGCCTACTATGCTGGCAAAGACTGCGATCCCTTGGCATCGAAACTCGTCGACAACTCAAATCAGGTAACACTTCTGTCGATTAGATGCTGTTTTTGAGGTTTTTGAACAACATATCAATATCATCGCACAAGGGTAGTAACCCATAAGTGTTCTGTTCCTCTTCTAACTCAAGTCTGAGTCCGATGAAGCTCAGCATAGTGCACAAGCTCTGTAGCACCGACGAGGATCCTAAAATACTTAGATTTTTAACTGCAAATTTTGCCCAAGCAGCGCCGTTAGGCTACTCTTTTCGATTTCCAACTGCCAAGGTTTTTGTTTTTTTTACATGTGCAACAATGCACACGGGCGTCCAATCTGACTACCCAGAGACCAGGGGGAATGACTAGAAGTCCAAGTCCACGTGAAAAAATCCCAGCCTTTGCCGGGGATTGAACCCGGAACCTCTAGCATTCGAGGCGGACACCATAACTCGAGACCACACAGCTCCCCCTTCTCTATCAATTATCTTCTTCTTTATGCTCACCGTCTGTAAACCTCGGCGGAAAATCCCGGCTGTTCGTCCACTTATGAACTTTCCATAACTTGAATTTTGTGTGCACGTCTATTTATAGATCCGGCTTATTTGCAAACTTCTAGTTTCTCGCTTCTCATGCAGATGCACTCCGACTTTGAACGAAACAGCCGTAACTGTTTGCCTTTTATGACATGCTTGTAAGTGAGCGAGTCAACAATGAACATGCTCTGTTTCTTGTCCTGTCAGTACACTCTTTTAGACTGCTGTTTGTCCATGTCTTGATGTTATCCTCCCACTTATTTTGCTTTCTACCTCTTCGACTTGTGCCTCCTTAGTGGATAGTGGGCATATAGGGCCATACCTATACAATTAAGGCAACCCAGGAGCCGAGGTCATATTTTAAGTATAGGTCCCCTACATCGGGACCTGGACCCACGGCCTTCGTATCCACAGGCGAGCATCTAAACCACGGCGGCATCCTCCCATAGCCCCCTTTTTTAAAACTGTTATCTCTTGTAATGTTTCTGAAAGAAAAAAAAATAGTTCAGTCACTTTGGACTTTTGTTTAAAATCTTTTGCAGTAACTTTTTTTTTTTAAATCTCCCCAGAAGAATTGTTTTTACCTCCCCTTGGTTCCAGGGATTGTGGTCTAATGATCTGTTTAGCCTCACTCCAAAGATTCTCTTTGATTCCCAAGTTAATTGTCCTTGTTTCTGTACAATGCACCGTATTCCATAGTTGAGGATTTCAAGCTGTACGATAGACATGGCCAATAAGACACCTTTTTTGCATGGTGCCTAGTTGACCATGTTCTTAGTGCATTTGTATCCATAGCGAGGCGCACACGTCGTCTAGAGGTGACAGGTTTAATTCCCGGCACGGTAACTATAGCTTTCGATTTTTATGTTGTCTAGTGTGTTCTTCTATCTTTCTACTTCTTTCTATGAGTGCCTATTAATACACTTTCTGTTACTGGATTAATTCATAATAGGTTAAAATATAACATTTGACGATTCTCACTATGAATATGTTCATTTTCTTCCAAGCTGTAAACAATGTTTATGTTTTAGTGAATACATTTACAATCATTCCTTTTTTTTTTTTTTTTTTTTTATTAAAAAGAAAATTGTTTTAAAAATTACTTCTTCCTTTTTTCTCTTTTTACGTCTACCATTGACTGTTATCAACTGGTCAGTAACTAAAATGCGCCACACATGAAAATAGCTGATCTTTAAATTTGGTGTACTAAAAAAAGCAAACGAGAAATTTTTTTTAGTGTTTTTTTTTTTTTTTAACTTTTTATTTATTTATATTTTAGATTGTTGTCTACAGCTTCCAAATTTTGATAATTGATATAGTGAAGTAAAAGTCAGTCTTCCACGCCTTTATGCGTATTGGGCACACAGCGTTAGACCTATATTCTGTATAGACTGATCGGCACTTGGTGAGCTATGTGGCCAGCATCCGCCGGCCGCCTCTACTTCCTAAGACTGCATCTGGTACCCACTTAAGGCTGGGTCGAACTGGGAGTCAAGGTCAACTTTGATAAAAGTCAGGACTCGAACCCACGACCTTCCGATCCGAAGATAGGCGTCTCGCCGCCATCGCACTGCGACTCCCATAATTAACCATACATGTTTCAATTATATTGTTTGTATTGATTTATATCTTATATCTATTTACTAAAATACCATCTAATTGTCTGTCTATCACACGTGTCTCCGCCCTGATACTCATTGTCATATTTCTTCGCGCTGCCACATTACTCATCAGCATCTTCTGCCTGGCTAAGACGTTGGCGATTATGCCACTCCACAGCGGGTGATCTCCAAAATTATTTATCGTCTATATGCTGACACCCCTCCGGTCTATGACAAGAGAATGTCAGTAATCTAATTTCGTTGTCAGCCTTTGCTCCTTGTTCTATAAATCTATCCAGTTGACGTGTTCTACTTTTTATCTTTCCATAAAGTGTCTGAGGGAAACCCTTAGACGAACCTTGAAGAGAGAGGCCAAAGGGGCTGCACTAGACTCTAATGATGATTTTGAAAAATAATTGTTCAGTAAATAATGGAATGGGGGGGACTAAACTTCGTGTAATTGGCACACGATGACGATGCGGATGATGATGATGACGACCCGTTTCACAGCCATACGTAAATGTTCTAATAGCCTGAAACAGCTGAACTCGAAAAGAAAATACGTGAACTGGAAATGAGATCTTTTAGAAAAAGTCTTGGCGCATCATTCACAAACCACATCACAAATGACGAGGTTCGCCGTATAACTACCCAGCACAAGGTAAACGAAAGTTTCCAGTCGTGGGTTTCACGCCCACAGTAAAAAAAAAGGGGGAGGAGGTGGATGAAGAGTGGGCTTCTCCAAAATGGACTTGTCAAGAGTTTAAGTATTATAAATATGTTACCCGGGGGCCATTAGAAAATTAGAAAGGTCTGTGGCTTTTGGTTGCAAACGCACTTTATAATGCCGGGGTGCCGGGTTCGATCCCATCTGCGAACCTTGCGCCTTGCGTTGGTTTCGACAGTGGTATTGAGAAGCTGGCCGTCCAGAAATCAATGGCAAACTACTGACGTAAATTAGCCTAGGAAAACCACAACATCAAAAAAATGCTGGGTTTGGTTCTGCAACGTCCTGCAAAGGATACCTAACTAACTAACTTAGGTGGGACATGGCACACAAAAAAGGTTGGGAAATCCTGTGTAAACTACGAACCTCTTTTAAATACAGTGAAAAAGCGGAAAATGCAATGGTACGGAAAGATAATATAGAGGGAAAGAGACAGGCCAAGAAAGACCTGGATACTTGACTAACTGGACAGGTCTAAGGCAGGCAACTATGAAGTCCATCGCATCTGACCGTCAAATGAGGAGGGCAACAACTGGTGATCCAGCTACACGCAGTGTTACGGGACCATGATAATGACAATGATGATCAATGTCGACAGATTTTAATGACTGATCCCTCTATTTAATGTTTGTAAAAGCTATCTTGAGGGCCTCGCCTCTTTCATACCATCTTTCCCCCGGTTATGCCGGTGTGTTGTGAAATGAATAGGCAGACAGACTAGCAGGTTTTTCACAGCTTGGTGAAACAATGATGCATAATAAGGCAGACGTAGTTAGGGCTTTGTGGGAGAACGTGTACGATTCGGAGAAGCAAATGGATCCACTCAGTCTGGTGAGAGTGATGCAGCGGGGATTGACGAAGGGATCTGGGTTTTACTCAGAGGGCAAGACAGACGTATATCAGAATGTTACTGGCACCACTGGTATTAAAACTCTAGGCTAACTGCTGAAGATGAGGCCGGAGCGCTTATGGAAATGTCCTGAGGGCTGTGATATCGGTTCTTGGATCAACTCAGCTCAACTCATCCAATCTGAATTATCAATTCACGCATTTGAGGAATGGTACATGTGTTAAAGAAACACTAAGTTTATACAACTTTCCATGTAATGGCTTTCAACTTCCTTCCTCATCCCCGACAGCTGGTTCCCTACTTTGTGATGGAAATCCTAAACTACCCCGGCGTCCCGGGACTGTTTGTGTCAAGTCTATTCTCTGGAGCTCTTAGGTAAGATATCACGTAAAGTGAAGGACACTTCTCCGCGTGTTCAGGCGTGTTAGGCATCTAGGGTTAAACCTATAGTTTATAGACCTATCGGCCCTTAGTAGGTGATGTCAACATCACGCTGGCCACCTTTACTTCCCAGTACTGTACCTGGTACCCATTCAAGGCGTGGTCGACTTGACGACCAAGGTCATTTTTAGAAGGGGGAAAAAAAAGTCCATCTCTGATAGGACCCAAACCCACGACTTTCAAATCCGCAGGAAGTATTCTAGCCGCGACGCCATGGCAGCCCAATATATTATGTAGATTTAAAAAAAAAGAGAAAGTAGGCAAGATATTACATGAATAAAATGTTTTCTCTTTATACAGGCAAGATATTATATGGATAAAAAAAACTTGCACTATATGTAGGCATGGATAAAAATGTATCATCATATGTAGGCCAGATATTACACGGATAAAATGTTTCACTATGTGTAAGCAAGATATTACATGGATACAAAATTGTCACTAGATGTAGGCAAGATAATACATGGATCAAAATGTGTCACTTTGTGTTAGCAGGATTTTACATGGATAAAAAAAAAATGTACTGTGTGTAGGTAAATTATTAAACTGATTTTTAAAATGTCGTTACTGATTGTAGTTAATTAAGATATTACATGGACCCAAAAAATTTATATCTGTAGGTTTTTGAGGAGAGACAACATATTCACCAAACACGCACTTACTGACGTCCAACTCCCCCAGGACAGCACGAAAAGCGATAATCACCCGGTGACACAAAGTGCCACCATCCGGATGAGAATCAGCTGGGGTCAAGTTTCAGAAACCCTGTTCAACAGTTTAGCTATATTTAGGGCTCCCGACTTTATAACAACAAAAATGTGTGTCACACATTGGGACGAATCTCTAACAGGCACTGTTTGTTCTATTCGTTCCATTTCAATTAGCCACGTTCAGCCTTCGACTAGAGAGCTAGCCTCGACCTTGTCAAAATCGGTTATACTTATGGTAACAAATTGTGTTGCTATTTCATTGCGTAGTCTTTGGTGCTAGTATTGTATGTCGTTCGTGACATGGTGTTACTGCCATTGACTGGTGATATTGCGGTACAAGTTCTTCATGTTGTTTAATATCTGTTATCGCTGTCCTTGCACTAGTATGTTCTCCTTTGATGTCGCGATCTTGGCTAGCCTTTGTCAATGTTGTCGGTATGTTGTGTTTATCCATATCGCCATACGACATATTTCATGACGTTATTCTGTTGCTTGCTTGGGATGTTTTCTTTGGACCGGGTGTATTCTTGTGTACTTCCGTTGGATAATCTCGTCTTGATGTAATCTGTACGCTGCTATTTGTCGTTGCTCCTCGTACCATTTATCTAAAGCCTGTTTGGATCGTTTCACCCGCTCTTTCACTGAAATAGGAAATACAGGGATTGAGGACACGAGGACATTCAAGAGAAATCCTACAACAACCATTGATGAGAGAAGACAAAGGTGCAGCATTGGATTTCATCCACGACACCAAAATAATTGCACAAGATAGAACAGAATACACGAATAGACTGCGAGTTCTATGTGACATATTAAGGCACAATAACAAATGAGAGCCAACGACAATTATGAAACACGTTGATGTTGTGGCAATATGTGATTTCACATGATACTGTATTATCCAATATACGTTTTCTGGGAACTTTGGAATCGGTACGTAGCCCTAATTCCGTGTGTTGGCTGCCTACGTATTAGCCGGTTGGTCACAGTCCAAATGCTGGTTAAATATTTGGTATCTGTGGCTTAGGCATTACAAATGCACTTCGTAGTGCTGGGTTCGATCCCAGCTCCAGGCCTTGAACCTTGCTCTAGATTCGACAGTGGTATCGAGAAACTGACCGTCAAGAAAGTAATGGCAAACAACTGGACGTAAATTTACCCAGAAACACCACCAGAGCCCCAAAAAAAAAAAAGCTGGGATTAATTCTGCAACGCACTGTAAAGGATACGAAACTAACTAACTGTATACATCTTTCTGGTGAGGCAAAAGGATACGGGAAATGATAATAGCGATCAACCACCTTGGTTATGCCATGAAGTATTGTAAGTGGACTCTTAAAAGCGTCTCACTTCTGTCTATCTGTCTGTCTATCTAGCTTGTCTGTCTGTCCTGTCTGTCTGTCTGTACTGTCTGTCTTGTCTGTCTGTTCTGTCTGTCTGTCCTGTCCTGTCTGTCCTGTCTGTCTTGTCTGTCTGGCTGTCTGTCCTGTCTGTCTGTCTTCGGTTCCCTGTCTGTCTTCTGTCTGTCCTGTCTGTCTGTCTGTCTGTCCTGTCTGTCTGTCTGTCTGTCTGTCTGTCTGTCTGTCTGTCTGTCTGTCTTCTGTCTTCTGTCTGTCTGTCTGCCTGTCGTCTGCCCGTCTGTTGTCTGTCTGTCGTCTTCTGTCTGTCTGTCGTCGGTCTTTTCTTCTGGTCTGTCTTCTTCTTCCTGTCTGTTGTCTTCTGTCCCCTTTTGTCGTCTGTCTGTCTTCTGTCTTCTCCACTATCTTTCCCTTCT